AAAGGCTAATGATGCTCTTTTAATTGGTTATCTATGGCTTTCTGGAGCATCACATAAAACAATTATGATTATCACGGGTCATTCACCAAATACAATAACCGATTATATGGGCTATTATAGGTTTTTTTTAAAAATTCTGTCTTTAAACTTGCCAGCTAAATAATTAAACAAAAATAAATAAAATTACTTAATCATAGAACGCTTGTTGGCTTCGATGTCCAAGAGACCCAGGGTAAAATTGGAGGCCAAGAAATTATAGTAGAAATAGATGAATCAAAGTTTGGCAGACGAAAATTTAATCGCGGCCACCGTGTTGAGGGAGTTTGGGTTTTTGGAGATGTAGAAAGAACTCTGGAGAGAAGATTGTTTGCAAAAGCCGTTGATGACAGAACTGCCAATACCTTACTCTTTCTAATCGAAGAAAATATAAACTCTGGGTCTATTATTTATTCGGATCTATGGCGTGCCTATACGCGAATAAATTCTGATTTAGGGTTTCAGCACCAGACAGTAAATCATAGTCAAAATTTTGTTGACTCTAATACACGCACTCATACGAATACAATTGAAGGAACCTGGAATGGTATTAAAATCTAGGTTAATAATCCACATTAAAAAAAAACTTTAATTGACTTAGATTTTTATACAAACTGATTGCTAAATAATTATCTATTTTTTTTAAAAAAAAATAATTATCTATAGGTGCAAAATAACGCCCAAGATTATTATTTTGAATTATAGCCTATATTAAGTTTAACTTAGGCTATAATTCAATATAATGCTCATGAACATTATCAATTAATTAATTAAAAATTTGTATTTTTTTTTAACTTAGGTTCCATCAAGAGGCCACACAAAGTCTAAAGTTTCTGACCATTTGTTTGAGTTTATATGGCGCCGGCAAAACAAAGATAATCTTTGGGAAAGTATGTTGCAGTGTATGAAAAATACGGGATATTTTGAGGAGGATGAGGACGAAAGAGACAAGAATGAAGAAAATGAAAATAGAGAAAATGAAGGGGAAAATGAAGAAAATATGTATGAGGATGAAGAAGACAAAAAGAAGAAGAATGAAGAAGACAAAAAGAAAGAAAATGAAGAAGATGATGAAGAAGAAAATGAAGAAAATGAAGAGGAGAATGAAGAAAATGAAGAAGAGGAAAATAGAGAAAGAGATATAATTAACAATAATGATAATAAAAATAATGAAAACGACCAATAATAAATAATTTTTCTTTGGCTTACCTCAATTTGAAAAAAATATCTTCATTATTCTGCCATTTTGTAAGAATTTACAAAATCCTACTGCTGATAAATGGTTTATTGGACCTTTTTTCTCATTAGACTTGTATAATATCGTAAAGTGTTCTGGATAACTATTATCCTATAAATCTTATTATTTTATCCTATAGAACAATAATAAAAAAAGGATAAGTTCTAATCATGATGTTCATTAAATTGTGCAAAACTAATACCATTGATAGATCGCTTAAAACAGCAATTCATAATTAATCGTAAAAATTTTAATTGGTCTAATATGTATTAAAGCATCTTTAGCTTTTCAACAGTCAGACGAACCAAATATGTAAATATCTTCGTAATATTGAACTTTTTCCACTAATATTGGTCATGGATCATTATAGCGTATTTTTATTTAAAGATATATTCCAAATGTTTGATTATAAAATACAAATTTTTCATACAAATTTTCTACATAATTATTCCAAACATATTGATTTATGTCTGAAGTTTCCAGTATTATATGATAGAACTCCATAAACCCTACAACAATCTTGTTGATATCGAAAAACCTAAATCTGAATAAACATACTATGTAAATTATTTGTAAATAGCCGTTTTATACTTTCTACAGAATTTTCATACTTTCTACAGAATTACCTGCCTCAGCTGATTTCCAATAATGCATAGATGCTATGCTTATTCAACTCCAATTCCCAATATGATCTTGAATTCGAGAATAGTAAAAACACTAGTTTCTTAGAATCTTATACTAACCGGGATCTTAATTGGGATTATTTTTTTAAGTTTTAATTCTTGACTTTTGTAATGCTTTTTAGCACCTATTTGGGTTTGTAATAGTAATACAATAACAGATAAATAAAACTATATATGTAATGTAATGTAAATTATTTGTAAATAGCCGTTTTATACTTTCTACAGAATTTTCATACTTTCTACAGAATTACCTGCCTCAGCTAATTTCCAATAATGCATAGACGCTCTATGCTTATTCAACTCCAATTCCTGAATAATCCCAATACGATCTTGAATTCGAGAATAGTAAAAACACTAGTTTCTTAGAATCTTATACTAACCAGGATCTTGATTGGGTTCATTTTTTTAAGTTTTAATTCTTGACTTTCATGACGCTTTTTAGCACCTATTTGGGTTTGTAATAGTAATACAATAACGGATAAATAAAACTATATACGTAACGTAACAGTTTATTTTTAATATCAGGTTGGTAATACAATAGATCACATTTTATACTATATCTGATCCGTTATATAATCACGATGACGTAATTGATCCTACTGATTTTTTGGCAAAATTTCCAGAAATGCCGGGACAAGTTATACTATATTTGATCCCTAATTTTTTATATATACAAACCTGTAATGGGTGGTATTTATGTTTGTGATCATTTACAGCATAGGTAAAAACTCTCGTGTATAGAATTTCAACACCTGTTATTATTTATAAGATATACAAATAAATATTCCATAACTCAAATTATAATAATTATTTTTGATTTGTTTGACATTAAGTGTGAACTCAAGTTCACAGGCGCAGTAATCACGTGATACTAAAACACTTATTGATTAGAACGAATTACCTTGGCTATTACGTATTCAATCTCTTCCCAACTTAATTTTGATATAGATAATGCTGAAAATGTTTTAATACGAACTATCATTTCTTTTTCCCTATCTTTAAAAATACTATTAAAAAGAACATATATTTTCTGTGCCTTTTCGGTTCTTTTACGAAGAGTATCATTAGAAATTTTTTCACCAATTTGTTCCCGAACCTCTTCATTAACTAATGCTTGGAATGCTAAGTCTCTATGTTTCAAATTTTTATAATAATTTATGCGCATTGATAAACTATCCCCAAAGGAGTAATAACACTGAATGAGTTCCTAATTTGTGTTTTCATTTTTGGATTCTACATA